AAATGAGAAAAATCCAGCCTTTCATTAAAATAAATTTATTCAAAGAAAAACAAAACCACGAAGAAATTGTTTTTAATAAAAACACGTGTGCCACAATTTTTGGCACCTCAGGGTTTAATACTTTGAACAACCTCCCTTTGCTAGTATAACAGCACTGAGGCTTCTCCTATAACGTTTTATAGGGTTGGAGATACAGAGCAAGGCATCAGAGACTATTCCTCTTTACAGAATCTCTCCAGAGCATCCAGGGTCCTAGGCCCTCTCTTGTGCACTTTAATGGCCATGGCAGAAGTTTGATTCTGTGGTCGGTTAACCATTTTAATGGTGATTTGGACATGTGCTTAGGATTATTGTCCTGCTGCAAGATCCAGTGATGACCCAGTTTTAGGTTCCTGGCAGAGGCAGTCAAATTTAAATTTCAAATCTCCTCATATTTCTGATAGTCGATAGTACCACATACCGTAACAAGGCTTCCAGGGTCTTTGGAGGTAAAACAGCCCCACAACATCACAGAACCTCCACCACATTTTACAGCTGAGATACTGTAAGGTTCTTTTCATTATAGACATCCTTGTTTTTACACCAAACCCACCTTGAATGTTTATTGCCAAAAAGCTCCATTTTTGTTTCATCAGACCATAGAACGTGGTTCAAAAGTTATAGTAGCGTTTTGCAAATTCCAGGCACTTGCGTTTGTGGTTAACTGACAGAAAAGGCTTCTTTCTAGCATACCTTCCAAATAATCTGTTAGCATGACAGTGGCGTTGGATGGTGGTTTTGGAGACACAATAACCCCAAGATTTTACTTTGTCTTGTTATTCACCAACAGTGATTCTTGGGGCTTTTTTGCCCCTAATTGTGGAGGGCTATGCATAAACATTCAGTTTCTAATCAAAGCCACATGTGAAATTTCACAAACATGCTATTAAAACGAAATGCAAATGCAGACGGCCCTGCTTATCTGTGAGGGTTGGCTCAAAGACCCCCTGCACATACCGAACTCCACAGATGCCCTAGTCCCTTCTCTACAGGTGTGTTGTATCTGCATATAACCTTACACACATTCTCCTGTGTCCTTTTAAATCATATCTGCATTACTTAAAATACTTAATGCAATGTAAAAATACGTAATGCAGTGTAAAAATGTTGCTATGCTTTATTGTGCATGCATAATGACAAGAAAAAAAGTCTGTACATCAGGGCTGCACGATATCAGATATTGACATAATCGCGATTGTATGGCACATTCGCAGTAATCACAAGGGCTTTAGACAACTTTTGAGAAGCCTCTGGCTGTGAGCTGCGAGAAGGCAAGTGTTGGACATCCAACCCGGCCCACATCCAACCCGGCCCACATCTAACGTGAAACGCCACACCCATGTCCAACACATCTTCATGCGGAAGCAAAAGTGTTAGCTGAAGCGAACTCGCCGAAAGAAGTCTGAAAACCTGTGCATATACTGTAAAAACTACACGCCTGTATGTGACACAAGCGCACAGAACAGCATCCACGAGCAGAAAACCATCCTCGCAAGGTTGTATTTCTGCTCCGCGCGCACAAATGGTGACTAAAAATAAACAACTATGTTATTGGTTTACATATGTACTATATTGTACTTTTGATTGTCATTTCGTTTGATGAAAAGGAAAAAGTTTACTGTAAAGCAATATACTCTGTCACACATAGTGTGTAAGTACATTCAATGGTTTGAGTTACGGCGGAGCTAGGGGGAGCTCGGCTAACCGGATCCCTAACTGCAACCCAACCATAAGTAACCAAACAATACACACTCAGTGACAAAAAAAAGTTAAGCACCCAGACGGAGTGGTGGAAATTAAATAGGGAGAGACTGTCACAAATGACTCATTCTGACAACGAACATCTATTCCACCCGTGGTTCGTGGTCCAAAACTATGGTCTTCGTTCCATATTTTAGCATGGTTCAACCTCTGACATCATGTAGCGATGTTAAATAACGCGTCCGGACAACAGGAAAAGTGCTTCACATCTACTGCATTGAACTCCAAATTCCTATTGGTTCCCCCTAGGGACTAAATTAATTCTCTGCTAAATTAATTCTCTCTCTCTCTCTAACACACACACACACACACACACACACACACACTGTGTTAACACTGACCAACAGCCAAAACTACACGTCACTCCATTTGTGTGCATTCAGTGTAGTGCCCGGCACACAGGAAATTCAAGTTCTGCTTTTTGGAGCTTTTATGGAATTTATTTTTTCCAAATACTTTCGATCTGCTGTTGGTTGAGTCCGTGGACATGGATTTTTTTTTTTATGAAATTAGTCAAGTAATGATGGTTCCCCGCCTTTCCACTCATCAGCTTCCCCATGAGACTGAATGGTTTGATGTTAACAGTGAATTCTGGGTTTTCATCTCAAGCTCTCATTGATTACAGTAAGGAGGCTGTGTTGTAGGTCTCCATGAAATAGAACTCTAATTTGACATACATTTAAAGTATATCGATACAAAAGGTGTCGTATCTACCTGTATCTCACTTTGAAAACATAAAGATATACTGTAAAAATTTGATGTCCTGCATAGCTGTAGTGGGTGTAGCGAGCGCTGTGTCCAGTTTGGCACTGCGGGGGCTGGGAGCTCATCCCACTGCGAGAATGGCTGGCGCTCGTGTCACTTGGCAAAGCCACCAAACAGAGGCCGGCTACATGCGTCAGGAGGTGCAGCTTTTGGTGTGACGTGCTGTGACGTGTTTTTGGCTGTCCGGCTCGCTGACGCCCTGTTATCTGGCGAGCAGCGGTGTGGGGGTGGGTTGCTTCAGTGTCTGGGGCTTGCTGCCCCCCCCCCCCCAATTTTAAGGGGGTCAGCCTTTCTCAGGCTGCTCACCCTGCACTGGTGGCTGAAAGGCATGGACAAGGAGGAATACCATATGCATTAATATGAGTCGCCTCCAATAAATCTTTCAAAATGCAGTAATAACCTGTTTGAGGCTGGGTGTGGGTGGGGAACAGCTGTGTGTCTCAGTGACCCTCCCAGGATTAGCGCAGTGTTCTCAGCAGGGCCTGCGGGTGTTTGTGGGGGTCGGTGAACACGCTTATGCATTTTACTGTGTGCATGCATGTTTTTATGTGTGTGTGTGTTTGTGTATGCGTGCGTGCGTGCCTGAGTGTGTTTGCCTGTGTGTGTGTGTGTGTGTACGCACGCGTGCGTGCGTGCCTGAGTGTGTTTGCCTGTGTGTGTGTGTGTGTGTGTGTATGTGTGTATGAGTGTGCATGTGTTTGGCTGGACCTTCCTCCTTCCACATTACATTCCACTGTCCTCTGATGTCTGTCTCACAACTGTTGCGCCATTTGCATGCTCTTTTGCATGCGTGGTGACCTTTGTGAAGTGTGTCCTTCTGAGATTAGTATGGAAATACGGATGCAAAGCGAGAGTCAGGCATCCCCTAACATCACGATGGCTTGAGGTGTGGGGCCCAGAGAGGCCCTGAATGAGCGATTGGGCTCGTAAGAATAAGAGAGCTGAAGATGCCTGATGTATGGCACGACCATCATGAGGAACAGGACACTGTACAGGCAGTCCCTGGTTTAATTACTTCCAACTTACAACTCCTACTTACTAATCGACTGATACAAAGCCTATTATTTAAAATATTTGGGTTAAATACAGTGGCTGGTAATGAAGAATGCATGCGTGACATTCATGAAAACATTGCTCTGCTTGGGTGGTTCAGTGCGGAATGTAGTTAATGATTATACAGCAATAATAAAGGTACCATTGTTATCTGCATTATTATTATTATTATTATTATTATGATTTATCTACAAATTCAACTTTAAAGATGGACTTAGGGAACGCATCTCAATCGTAACCTGGGGGCTGCGTGTATAATTCAGTTTTACTTTCAGTTTTATTTGTATAGCACATTTTCACATTACCTTGTCTCAGCACTTTACATTGTCCCTAACCCTAACCAGACCCAAAGGGGGAGCCAATCCTCCAGGGGACAGTTATGGCTATGGGAACATAAGTAGGAGGGAGAGGCAAGTGAGAACACAAATCTGGGGAGTCCCTGAAACGTCAATACTCTAATTCCACGAGAGTGTGAAGCTAGAGTGACAGCACTGACAGTTCAGTTCATCCAAAGCCAATGGCACCGATCCCCACCCAGCTCTACACCTCACACTATAGGTCTAAATGGGAGTGAGCAGTTAGCTGGAGCTAGAGCTGGAACTAGAGTCCCTATAAGCTAGACTAAAGAAATGTGTTTATAGTCTATATTTGAATATTGGGACTGAGCCTGAATTGCACAGCTGCA